CTGTTAATGGTGAATAAAAGCTTTTTAAATGTAGATCCAAATAGTGTATAAACAGGCTTTGCGCTCTTTTACTAAATGTTTGAGGAATACCATCTAAGTTAACTACGTGCTGGAATCTTAGATTGTGGTTTACACTTGTACGTATGTAGTAAGAGATTTACAAAAGGGGAGTATTTGGGTGAAACCTCCCAGTGTAGGTTGACCACTGGGAGACGCATAACATCCAGACTCAGGCCTGCTATGTGAAATTTTTCAACATGCGAATAACCCTAGTAGTCTTTATTTTTTATTTGACATTTTGAAATATGGGTTGTTTGTGATGATTCTGGTACAATTCCCTGCTCTTCCTCTTAGTGCCAGTTTAAGAAATTGCTAATTGTCCATTCTTGCTGGAAAGTACTGATTTCCATTTGAATATAACAGTCTTTTTGCTGAAACTTTCCTGTGGTTGATTCGAGCAAATACAAGAAGCCTTCTGTTTGTGGACTGAATGTTCAGCCAGCCATGACGTGGCCACTATTCTCAATGAAGCTTATTCATCACTTTCCGTGCTGGTGCATTATACGGGCCTTGCTGAGGATCCTGGGGACTTTGAATGGAGAGCTTCTCCTCTGCTTACCTCCATACACTGTCGGTATTAAGGGATTCTGTTCTTGATCTTTTCCAGACCTTGTGGATAATTAGATCTTTTTGTTTTCCGTTGATTCCCAATAGTGTCTTGCAGATGACAGGCGCTGATTGAGAACTTGTTCTTTTTCTAAGAACGGAATGGCAATTAATGCTCTTAGGAGAAAGTTTTTTGTTTTCTTCTCCTATACATGAACAATTTATCTTCGATCCAATGTCATTTTACACAGGCATAGGCGATATTATGTTTTTGTAAAATAAAATAAAATGAAATGGCTGTTGATGATGTTAGATTCAAGGCTTATTACTCTTTAGGTAAATTAAACTTTTTAATATTTAATCTTGTATACTTGTTGAATAATTAGATTAAGTTTACAGGTTAATTGCTGAATTTCATTTATATAGGTAGAGCTGTAGAGATACAACAGTGGTTATTTGTTCCAGTTCATGACTAGAAGGCAGTCAAAGTTGTTATAAAACTAAGCCTATTATATACTTTGGTAAAATCATGTGCCCTGAAACACAGCAGGCACTTATTATGAGAGCCTGGTCAGACACCGTCAGACCACCATATCATGGCTCTTCAGCCTGTTTCACAACAGTACTGTTATGATAAGCAGTGTTCCCTGTGTGTGTTAGTTATGGCCATTGGGGGTATAAATATCCATGATAGAATAATATTTGAATTGTTTTTGACTACATCTAACACAAGCTTATTTTTTTTTCACAATATTTCATGAAAATGGTATATGCTTGCTCTACATTCCGCACTCCTGTTGCTTTCTCTCAGGAGTCACTGAGTTTCAGGGACTCACTAAGCCTGTGACCTCTATTCTAAGAAAAAGCCTAGCTCTGGATCTCAGTGGAGTTTACACTGTGTGTGGGAGGGCTGCACTTTCCCTGAAGACTGGGTCCTTCCAGAGGAGCTGGCTGGCTCAACAATTTTCATTTCAGGGACTCAGACTTGCCCTGGGGACATTTCAGGAAATACGAATTTCTTCCAGCCAAGGGACCCTCCCTCCCCACTTACCACCACACACACACCCCATACCCTTTAGAGATTCCTTGAACCCATAGAATTCTCTTGATTGAAAGTGAGTCTTGGTTTGTTACTTACTGAGGTAAGCACCTCAGACCTTCTGTGGTCCAGAACTAACTTCTGGGGAGTCTCAGGAGACCCTAGAATTGCCCTGGGACTAACAGTGAGGTACCTCCTCTTATTCCCCTTTGTAGCTCCTGTAGTATCTACAATACTGCTCTGTTCATAGAATGTGCAAAATAAATGTGTTGGCTACAACTCTTCTTTTTTTTTTTTTTATGAAAGCTTCTTTCTTTCTTTATTTTATTTTTGGCTGTGTTGGGTCTTCGTTTCTGCGCGAGGGCTTTCTCTAGTTGCGGCGAGCGGGAGCCACTCTTCATCGCGGTGCGCGGGCCTCTCACTATCGCGGCCCTCTCACTATCGCGGCCCTCTCACTATCGCGGCCTCTCTTGTTGCGTAGCACAGGCTCCAGACGCACAGGCTCAGTAGTTGTGGCCCACGGGCCTAGTCGCTCCGCGGCATTTGGGGTCTTCCCAGACCGGGGCTCGAACCCGTGTCCCCTGCGTTGGCAGGCAGATTCTCAACCACTGCACCACCAAGGAAGCCTCAGCTACAACTTCTTCTCCACTGATACATGTGAATCTATTTAGATTATTTAAGCCCAATATCATTCTAGAATTTCACATTTCACCCCAGATACCTCCCCTGTTTCTTGGCAACACACGCACTGTTCTTGTGTTTACTGAACTTTCACATTTTCATTCCAGAATTTCCCATTTTATCCCAGTATCTCTCCTGTCTCTCAGTAACACACTCACTCCTCATTCTTATACTTACTGATTTCTCCCTAGTTTAATCACTTACTAAGTGAACAACTGTCTGATTACAGATTCTGACCCATATTGATAAGCAAGGAATATTATGCATATTATACCTTTAAAAAATTTTCTCTAATGATACAGGTGTGCTCCAGGATGACAATTATGAACCTCAAGGTTATGTAATTTTCATAAGTTTTAGGTTGTCCACATTATCTCTCTAGGTAGCCCACAAACAGATGAAGACTTGGCTTAAAAACAACTCTTCCCACAGAGAAATAGGATGTGACTCTAAATTCCTTGATTTCTCTGTTTTAATTCTGATCTAAACTTATATGTAATAGTTGATAATTATTTATTCATTTGAGTAGGATCTGTGATATAAGACAAGTGATTTTTTTTTCTTGAAAATAGTTTGTTCTGATTGCAACAGGTCAACATATTCTAGGTGAATTATGCTGAATAAAAACTCCATATTGTCTCTTCTTAAAAAAAATAAAATAAAAAAATGAAACATTTCTCTAAGTCATTCTCTCTTGCCTGTTTTCCTTGACATATGCAGGTTTCTTCACTTTCCACCTAGATTATTTTCCAGTATGTTCATAACTGGTCTCTATCTCTCCCTGTTCTCTCTCCCTTCAAATCTGCCTACTGTACTTCTGAAAGAATACCTTTATGAAAATATAAACACGTCCTTCTCCTGGTTATAAAAATGGTCAGTGATTCCCTCTTGCGTTTTGGGTAGAGCCCAAAGCCTAAACTATAAAGTCATACAAGTTCCTTTGAATCTTTGTAGCTTAACTTTCTGCACTTTTACTGTTTATTACTTTGCCTCAAAGTCTGTGCTGTAAACATACCATCTACTTTTATGACCCCCAGGCTTTTGCAGATGCTCTTCCTCTGCCTGAGATGCCTTTCACGTCTCACTATGTCTGATGTATCCTTTGCAGCTCAAAGGTTATCTCCTCTCTGGAGCCTCTCTGAACACGCCATTTGTCTTCGTCTGTGCTCATACAGTATTGTATTATATATAGTACTTCTGTTATATCACTTTATTGCTTTGTGTACCAATACTTTTGTAAAATGTAATAAAAATGAAATAGAAAAATGAGGTGTAAAGAAGACATAGAAAATAGAAACCTCATTTTAAAATTATTAGATTCAGCAGCCCTAAAATTACTAGGTTTCTAAATGTTTATGCTCAGTTTTGAACTTAACTATGTTTTTATGGACCAACAGCAAACAATTCACAGGTCGTCACTGGTCCACAGGTCACAGTTTGAGTAGCACTGTTTTATAACATTTATCAAACAGTTTTACAGTTATTTGCATGCATATTTGCTTTCCTGACTAGACTGGGGTTGTGTCTTTTTTATCTTGTGTTTTCCTTTATCTGGCTTCTCATCCTTTGTCCCCTAATCTCCCCCCCGACACCCCGGTCATCCCCTCCCCCCCAAAACCAGGTCTTAAAATAGTACGTGACAGAGTTAATCAGTGAATGTTCATTGAAGGATTTAAGTATAGCAGTGGTCTCATTACCGTATAATCACAACTGACTTGCATTTCAGTTCGCAAAGTCACATGGGTAGAGCTTTGTGTTAGTTCATACGGGTATTGCTTTGAACTTCATGATGCCATAGTGAAGTACTGTTGGGGAAGGGGCTTGCTGACTCAGTCTGAAGTAGATTCACTTGTGTTGTACTCTGCCTAATTTCGGTAGTCTCTGAGAAATCTTGCATGCAACACACGTCCACATTCTTAGCACAAGTGATAAAATAGCTCTCTGCTGTAGGGGAGGAGCAGAGAACTAGTAACACCACTGAAGCAACTTTTTAGCAAATACTTGTTTTGAGGAGAATGTTTGTTGCCAGTTACAAATGAAATGCTTTTAATTTTTCTGGTTTTACTGACACACTACACGCAGATGCCAGGTCTCCCACCCTTGGGGACATCCAGCCCTCACACCCCTCCTTCCATCCCCATTCACAGTTCATTACTCAGTTTAGAATCTGCATTTTTGAAAGTTGTAGTTATCCAGCTTCAGAAGCTTAGAACTTGTCCCATATCTGTGATCTTGGAACAGTGTTCTGCTATGGTGGAAAGCAGTGGAAATCTGAGTTCCAGCCCAGGCTTTTCTGATAGTTGACTGCATGACTCTGGGCAAGTCATACTCCCCTTATAACTTGAGTCCTCATTGGAAAATCCAGACTAGATGATTTATAGGGTTGTTTTTTAACTCTCCCCTTTGGTCCCTGTGGGAGTCGACGTTTGCCTGCTTTGATTTTGGTCATTTAACTCTGGCTGGTGATCTTCATATACTGTCATGTACATCGTGTGCCAGCAGTTACCATATTATATTGACATTCTCGCCCTATTAATGTTGGTTGACTTGTTAAGCTGAACTCTGTCCTTTGTTTTTGCTACAGAGCTTTGTTTAGCACTCTGCCTACCGGGGAACAAACCTTGCATCAGTTGCATATTTGATATCCAACTAATATATTACAGAACTGTTTCAGGTTGTGGACGTCATGAAGCCCAGTTGGAGAGATGCTGATCAGTCCCACGACTGTGTAAAGCAGGTGAGAGTTGTGGTTATTCATTCACTGTTCTCCTCTGGAGGGTCTCATTGATTATTAGCTTGATGGAGGATCTGAGTTGGTAGTCCTCTGTCTGGGCCTTCTTGGCCTCGGGCAGCTGAGAGAAAGATATGAGTTCTCTGCCCACAGACTGTCCAGCCCTGTGGGGCAGCCTGCCAAGAGTCTCAAGTCACATGCCCAGGGAGTTGCTGCTACATTTTTTCTTCCTTGTCTTTTTCAAGGCTGCTGTTGTTGGGCTCTGTGCCTGGTGTCCCTGAATTGTAGCTCTTTTAATTCTCTGGGTGGTGAACTCCAAACATCGTTGAGCAGCCGGTGCAATCTTTATTGGGGCTGGATTACCTCCACCGAGTAGACCAAGCGTGTTTTTATGATATCACCAGGCAAGACTTGCAGCTGTGACCCGTACACTGAGCCCACAGTCCTCAGTCCCCACAGCGTGCCCCTGAATATCCCCATGCCGGGGTGTGCAGGGCTGTGGTGTGAGCTGTAGCTTGTCCTCACCCGCTTCTCTAGGTAGGTATTCCATTGCTCATTCCATTTGCAGAGCTGAGCCCTGAGCCTCTTTGTAAGATCTTTTATACACCAAAGTGCTCAGACGCCACGAGGAAGGTTAGTACTTGGAGTTGTATTGCAGTGGTGGTGACGGATTAAAACTGAGCCCCTACACACGTTTTCCTAGGCTACGGGTTTGTGAAATGGTTCACAAGTTTAGAAGTTTAGTAGATGGATATCTAGTGGAATGAAACTAATTAAGTTTATTGCACCACTAGCCTTAACTTTCCTTAACGTGGTGTTCTAAGTAACAGCCGTGGTTTTAGGATGATCCCATTACCGTGAGTCACCTATTCTGCTGAGAAATATGGAGAAGAGACTGTGAGTCTGGAGAACTTAGAAAATTTTCTTTTCTTCTTCTTTGTGTGGCCTTTTCTTTCCATTTAATTTCTGTGTTCTCTCTCTTATGTGAGAGGCACTAACGAATTCATGTAAAACCTGTATTTTAATGTTGACCCATCTGCTTTCCAGTTGTTTAGCCTTGGGAGAATTTATTATCCTCTCTGAGCTATAGTTTCCTTCCTAGTAAAAACAAGATACTGCCACTACTATTTTAAACATTAAGCATCATGTGAAGGTGTGTACCTGGTGTGGTACCCGGCTGACCTACGGAAGGGTGATAAAGGATCCTTGCCATTTTCCTGTTACTTTGAGCATACACAATGTTTCTTACTATAAATCCCTCATTTGTACCTGTAGTGAAAATGTTACAAATGGCATCAAGTAGAAATCGAGGCACGTAATGAAAAAAGTTTAGTGAACGTTTCTTGGGCACCAGGCACTGTGAGTGGAGGAGAAGACAGCTTCCCTGAGCTGTTGGCAGTCTCACGGGTAATACAGGGAAGCAAGCGGTGTTTGCAGAGGGTGTGATGGGTGCTGTGGCGGTGTGGCTGGTGTGCTCTGCAACTGTGGAAGCAGGCCACTCGCTTCTAAGGCGAGAGGAGCAGAAGGGATGGCAGAAAGTCAGGGGAGAGTTCCTGGAGGAATGGGGTTTTGAACTGTGGCTTGTTGAAGAGAGGAAGGAGGTTCCAGGCTGAGGGAACTACACGCAAAAGACCAAAAAGTGTAAAGTAGCGTGGGGCGTGCAGCGCAAGTCGTTCAGGCTGGCTTCATTGTAGCGATGTGTGACACGGCCAGTGCTGGACGGTGGAGCTGCTGATGACCGGCCCATGGAAGGCCTTTCTGTCATGCTGAGAAACTTGGTTTGTCTCTTGGGGAGAACGGGCTCGTCATCGCAAGGCTCTCTTCTGAGGTGTGGCATGATCAAATTTGCATTTTAGAAGCATCCATCTGGTGCGAGGGCATGGAATCTGTTGGTGGGAGACAAGGTGAGGAGAAGGGGGGACATATGCTAAGAGGCTGGTGCAGGGGTTCAGAGGAGAGATGAAGATGGCAGAAGGGATGAAGAGGAGGACACCAACTGAGAGTAACTGAGGAGGTAAGAATCTGCGACTCCTTCATCTTGAATGAAAAAGCATCTGGGGGAATCTCCTAGGTTCTTGTCTTGGCTGCATAGGAATGGAGAATAATAGAGGAGGAAGGTCAGGTTTTGGAAGAAGATGATAAATTCAGTTTCGGATAAATCGAACGGGTGCTGCTTGTGGAATGTGATCCAAGGGAAGGGAAAACCAGGAAGCAATTTGATACATGGGTCTAGGGCTTAAGGGAGGTCAGAGCCAGAAATGTAGCTTTTCACCTTGATCGATAATAACGACATAGGAAACAATAAGTAAAATGGTCGCTTTGTCCTTGCACTGTGACAGAAGGACAGACATTTATAATACATCACAAATGAAGCTGTCATTAAAAATGTCCAATAGATCCCCCTCCCCTCCTACCTCAGTTCTCTCCTTAGTAGAGATAGGATATTGCTATTTCCCCTTTCTCTCTCAACCCCCATAGGGCCTTTTGGTTTGAAATACTGCTTTGAAATTAAATAAGGTTGAATTTTGAAGGGTCTTAAATTTTAATATGATACTTTCCATAACTCTAAGCTGCATTTTAATGGGGCTTAGCATAACTTCTGATGCCTCTGGGAGTGCTTCTTAGTAATTTATTATTATTATTATTTTATCATTAGCTCTTAGACAGAAGTTGAGAGAAAATTATTAGAACAATCAGGATGTATTCCCTAGGCTGTGACAGAGATAAGTGTAAGGTCTCAGCTACAGTGGCTTTTTGTCTTCTCACTCGGCACACCCTGGCTTCTGTCTCCTGGGGGCTCTGCAGTTTTAGATCAGCATCAAGTTGTCACTGAGTGGCAGCGTTCAGTGACAGAGTTCTTACAGGTCAGAATTTTTTGGATAATCTTCCACATCCTCACCTTTCCTCCTACCATTCTCTCTTCTTTTTTTCTTATTTCAGCGGACCTTAGGAAATCATATTCTTGGATGTTCTCATTCTATTCCTTTGTGGGCTATACGTGTTTTCCTTAATTTTCCTCTTGTCAGTATTGAGGTTTATGATAACCTGTCCTTTTCTATCTTCTTCCACTTGAATATGCATAGAAAATCAGCCGTGCTCTTCTGGCATCCTTAAAATTATAGCTTTGCCTGTTTTTTATTTTTCTTTCTCTCTCTCCTACTATCCATTGAGATGACAAATATTCTAGGTTCAATCATTGCCACCTCTCCCACACCCACGCTCCAAATATACCTGTTAAACCTCTGTATTGCTCTAGCGACATGACCAACCACGCTTGCCTTAAATACTTCTTATACTGGGAAGTTTGCTGTCTCGTATGACTTATTTCATTTTCAGCAGCTTCAGTTGTCAAAAGGCTTTCTTTATGATATAAACACGTGCTACTGTGATATGTTAAACAATGTACTTTCTGTTTCTGGTATTTTCTGCTGCCCTCTGTCAGTTTTACTTTTTCTGGTTAGCAGTGGGGGAAGAGACACCTCAGCAGAATGCAGAGAAGAGGCAAGTGTCTGGTTTTTGAATTTCAGAAATTACAAAGCCTGGGTCTGACTATAAAACTAAATTTGGAAAAGTCAGGAAAAAAGATGTTGTAGACAAGTTGAGGGAGAGTCAGATAGGGAGTTGAGAGAGCCCAGATATCGGCCTTGTGCTTGAGAGAACCTCTAGGAAGGTTTGATGAATTCTAGAGGAGAGTGAACTTCTCCGTAAACCTCACAGCAAAACTGCAAAGATTAAGTTTCTGCCTCTCAGCTCAGTGGGGGCTCACAATGAAAATTAAGCTTAGTTACTGAAGAAATGAAGAGAATGAAGTTACATTTCTTGCCCATCTGATTTGTAGGCTGAGATTTGTCTGTGTTATTTCTATATTGAAAACCAGTGAGACGTAGTGGAAAATTGCACAGGCTTGGAAGCCAGATTAATTTGGGTTTAAATCTTAGCTCTGCATAATATCCTAGTCAAGTTACTTAATCTCCCTGAGTCTGGTTTTTTGTTTTTCATTTGTGTAACTGGAATAATAATACCCACTTTGTGGGAGTGTTTTGATGCTTAGATGAGAGGTACATACAGTCTCTAGAATGGTGGCTGGCTTATAATAGGCACTCAGAAATAACTCTCTCACTTAATTTTTTGTCTCAGTACTGCTTCTTATTTTGTCCTCTTAAGACTTAATAGAATATATCTAAATACTTCTTTCATATGATAGGCTTATAAATATTTGAAGACCAATATCCTCAACAGTGCCTAGCGCTGTGTCTTGCGTATTTGAGAAGCAGTGTGACATAATGTATCCTGGAGCCCGTTGCTTGGATTTGAATCCCAGCTAGGCCTCTTACTAGCTTGGGTAAGTTACTTAACTTTCTTTGGACCTCAATTTCCTTGTTTGTAAAATGGGGTAATAATAATAATACCTATCTCGAGGTAGTTGTGGATATTAAAGATGTTAACACATATAAAGACTTCCAGACACACGGTAGTTCATCAGGCATAGAGTAAGTGCCTCATGGTGATAGAGACAATGCTACGTGATCACCTAGTCCTGTTTTATTTTCCTCTTTAGAGCCAGGTCCTGGCTGCTTTTTCTTTCCTTCCTCGTGGGTTAGCTTGGGACCATGTATTTATTCTAAACAGTAAATTATAAGTGGAGGCGACAGGTGTCATTTATGAGCCAAAGCACTTTGCCACATGGATTGTAGAGACCCTCATGTGGATTGTAGAGACCTTCATATGATGGTTTCGCAAGGTCATACTGGACTGAGTCCCTGAGTCACCATTTAGTAGAGAGCTTCTGGATCCCTAGAGGACACTGTGTGAGCAAGAAATAAACTTTGTTTAAAGCTGCTGAGATTTCAGAGTTAATTTGTTACTGAGGCACAATGTAGCCTACGAGGATTAATGTAATATGGCTGTTATGATTGTTGACTAGTTGAATACCAAATGAAAGAAACTGTTAAGTCAATTTTAGCAGAGGCCTTTTCAGTGAAGATATTAAGGAGAGAGGAAGGGAT